ACTGTATTCGTCTCCCCGAAGCCACAATCCCGCATAAATTACACAATGCTCGCGTTCCCGATGGCACGATCGATTGCAAATCATCAAATACTAGCGCCCTCAAGGTAACGAGTCCTCGTACCTTGCGCAGTGTTCGCGTTCTTGGGACCACGATCCCTTTACGCCATGCCCGTGCCCCCGGGACCACGATCCCGAGTAAATTACGCAATGCTGGCGCCCCGAGGCGCCGATCCCTTCGCAAATTACAGCGTTTGCGTCCCCAATACCAGAATCCCTTGTAAATGATGCAAGGTTCGCTTCCCCGAGGCCACGATCCCCGGCAGATTGCGCCAGATTCGCGTCCCCGGGGATACGACCCCATGTAAATGATAATGATGTTCGCGCTGATGCCGCGATCTCTAGTGAATTACGCCGTGCTCGCGGCCCCGAGGCCACGATCCCAAACAAATTACGCCATACTCGCGTCCTCGAAACCACATCCCTCGACGAATCCCCCGAGGGGCCCGAAGGCCGTCCAGACCGCGCGATTTGGGCCCACGTAGCCTCAAGCAGCCCCCTGTCGTTCCAAGAGGGCCTTCAATACACAGCATGAGGGAAGTTGGAGGGCAAACCAAACGAGATCAACCACATCATTTGGATCTCAATTTGTCATGAAGTTGACCCATCGCCCCAGGCAGCCCAACATAACTACTGCATAACTCGTGAAGATAGAGATGGGACGGGCGGCAGAGGCCGAAGCCCTTACATATATCTACACACATATAAATAGTTGTGCATGTCTAGATATACGTAATTGTGTAGCCCAACGTTTCTCCTTTTGTTGTACAAGCGCAGGAATGTTGCACTCCTTCCCTCCCTCCGAATCCGCCGACCCTGTCAGCGAGTAGAAGACGCTGTTCTGTTTGACTATACGTCGTCGTCGCCGTCGCGAGGGACCCCCCACTGGGCTCTCCTCCCCAAGCGAGCAAATCGACACCACAGCGACGTTGGGCAACGTCGTCGTTGACTAGAAAGGGAGCCTTTTCCCTTTGATCCCCTCCCCCCCGGTGGAGGGGGGGGGTCCTGAGTTTGAAAAGGGTTGGGAGGCCCAACCAACAGCCTCGCCTCTGGCTCGTTCCGGAAGCGTTCCCTCGCCGGTTTCCGACAATCACTACCGGTTCGAACCCCCTCCACCCCGGCCCTCCCCCTCCAGAACACCGATGGGGGGGTCACTACCGGTTCGAACCCCTTCCCCCCCACAGAAAACCAGGGGGGGTCACTACCGGTTCGGACCCCCCCCCCTCTAGAAAACTGGCGGGGGGCCACTACCGGTTCGAACCCCTTTCTCCAGAAAACTGGGTGGGGTCACTACCGGTTCGAACCCCTCCCCCCCCACGCTCACCGCCGGCAAACGACTCCCGAGTCCCTACCACCTTCCGCACCCCACTGTTCTCCCCACCTTGAATTCCAACGTGGGTCTGTTACTATAGAGAAGGTCACGAAACAAACGTTGAAACACAAATTATGACGATATTCGCATATGCGGTTTGGCAAATCGGGGCGGCATCAACGCGACGCCAAGGGGCGTCGTGGACTCGAGACTTCGACCTGGGAGCACGAAGCGCACGATTACCCACACCGTGAAGTTCTGCAACCGGTCGCTGTGTTCTGGGGGTGCACGGACACGCAAAACGCTGTTCAACTAAGCGTTTGCTGGCGCCCGCCTCAAACTCTTGCACACTCCCCCGCCTCCTCCCCATATCCCTTCGCTGCGGCCCCACCCTCCTCATGCCCCTCCGACTCCCCCCAGTTATCATGCCCCTCGTCCAACACCGTCACCCCCCCATGTGCCAATCAATGTCGTTCCTCGTCGTCCTCCACCGCCGGATGAATTCCCCCATCGCCCACGTGCTTGCCCCCCTCCCATCCTCATCGCCCTAATGCAGATCATGCCCCCTCCTTCTGCCCACCCCGCCTGCCTCGTCCTCGTGATGCTGACGCCGATGATGCAGCTCCTCCTGGGCCCACTTCCTCCCGTCTCGTCCAATCCCGTTCATCCCCGGCCCCTTGGCGACCCTTCCTATCGAGCCTCTTCATTCCCACAACCCACCATCCCCACCCCCCCCGCGCCTCTGCACTCGCAGACCACGCCCCCCTGCTGGACCAGCCGGGCGACCCGCGGAAACTCCCGCCCAGTGACCACTCCAGCGAACGGCGCGCAACAAATGCACAGTTCGAGACACGAGCTGTGTATTTCGACCGCGTACGACGCCCCCGGACCAGCCGAACGAGAAACGTGAAAGTTCCCGCCCAATCAACACCACCCGCACACTCAAATACACAGATGGGCACCAGATCTGCGTACACAGATCAGACCACGATCTGTGTAGACAGTGGGCCCACACACGAGAATACACAGTTGCAGACACAAAGTGTGTACACAGATCACACCTTGATCTGTGTATTTCGAAAAAGCGAACGCTCGCCACTTCGAGGGTGCCCCGACTCTGCCAACCCAGAACCGAAGTCGACATGCCCATCTGGGGGGGAATGCTAATACACACTTCCCCGGCCCAGGGCGCCCCCGAAGGAACTGCAAATACGCGCCTCCTTGGCCCAAGGCGGCCACGGTGACACGCGGCACCACAGCGGCACCCAACAGCCCGAAGACGTCCCAAAACGCCTCGACGGGCCCCAAAGAAGGCCTCACAGCAAACCGAGAACACGAGAGGTGTCACATGTCATGGACCCCACAATAGTCAAAGCTCCACGCGTCGCCATTCAGACCGCTGCACTGGCAAGGGGGCGGACCTTGCCGCAGGCACATATACATTTACATGTTAGCGATGCGACTGCGCTCGGCGGCCGTGCCGCCCGCGTTTGGAGAACGCCCCGAACGCTCGCATTGGCAATCCCCGTTGTGGTTGCGCCGGTGTGCTCGGATATCGAACAGACGATATACCGCTGATGCGGGCACGCGGCACCAAGGACTTCACTTTTCGGACAAGGAGGGAAGACGAGGTAGGACGTCGGACGGTGGAGCAGGGAGGCAAAGAGGAACGAGGAAAAATGAGGGAGGTGGAAAGGGGCACTCCCCCGCCCGAGCCGCGGACGCTTTCGACACCATCCTAGGGGGGGAAGAAAGGAAGGGAAACGGAGCGAGGACGAGGACGACGACGGGAAGCAAACTGTACTTGGTCCGTATATAGCCATATGCCTGCGATTCGGGTGCGCGCGCTTTCTTCGAGGCGCGTCAAGCCCGACCCACACCGAATTCACTAATCCCTCCAAACTGTGTAAACACCCTGTCCACTGTACCCCTCCTATACAACTGCTTCAGAACAAAGGGGCAGTGGATTCCAACCCCCACCGTCCCCACTGTCCCCACCAGTGCCCCCACCACTGTCGCACTGTCCCCACTGTCCCCAGTACTGTTCCCACCACGGTCCCTCTCGCCCCACTTTCCCCACGGCCCCAACCACTGTCCCACTGTCCACACTGTCCCACTGTCCCCGCCGCTGTCCCACTGAGGCGTCCCACTGCTCCGACCACTGTCCCCGCTGTCCCCACTGTACCTCTGTCCCATCGTCCCACCGCCGTCCTCGCCACCGCCCTCACCACTGTCCCCACCACCAGTGTCCCCACCATTGTTCCACTGTCCCCACCACATCCCCACTGTCCCCACACCACTGTCTCCACCACCACCGTCCCCACCATTGCTCCACAGTCCCCACCACTGTCCCACTGTCCCCACTGTTCCCACCATTGTCCCCGCTGTCAGTGTCTCACTGTCCCAACTCTCCCCACCATTGTCCCACCATGGTCCCACTCTCCCCACTTTCCCTACGGTCCCCACAGCTGTCCCACTGTCCCCACTGCACCCACCACTGTCCCACTGTCCCCGCCGCTGTCCCACTGTGCTGTGCCACCGTCCCCACTGTCTCCACCACTGCCCCACTGTCCCCACTGTCCCCACTGTCCCCACCACTCTCCCCACTGTACTACTGTCCCACCACTGTCCTCACCACCGCCTTCACCACTGTCCCACCACTACTACCGTCCCCACCACTGTCCCACTGGCCCCACCGCTGTCCCGCTGTCTCCTCACCACTGTCCCCACCACCACCGTCCCCACCACTGTCCGCGCCACTGTCCCGCTGTCTCCGCACCACTGTCCCCACCACCGTTCCCACCATTGTCCCAATATCCCCACCATTTGCCGGCGGCGAAGGGGGGGGGTAGTGGCCCCCTCCCGGTTTTCGAGGGGGGGGGGTCGAACCGGTAGTGACTCCCCCCCCTTTTCATGATGGACTGGGGGGGAAGGGAGGGGTTCGAACCAATAGTGACCCCCCCCCCGGTTTTCGAGGGGGGGGGACGGGTTGGGAACCCCCAGTGGCCCTCCAGGTTTTCCGCCCGCAGCAGTAGAACGCGCTCTTTCATAGATGCATACATGCACACATACATACATGTATACCTAAAACGTACACACATGCATGCATACATACACCACATACAATACAAATGCTACATTGAAGACCTACGTCGCTTTGCACTACATTACATTTCATTGCACTGCACTGCATCACCTTACTTTGCAGTGCAATACTTCACATTGCAATGCATCGCAAAGCATTGCGTTTCATTGCATTACGTTGCATTGTACTGCCATTCCCTTACGCTGCAGTACGCTGCATGATACTACATGAATTCGTACCCCAATCAACCTCATTGAACTTACACACGCTACACTGCACTAACTTATTCTACATTACATTACATTGCTTTACTTTACAATGCATTACATGGCATGATATTGCACTGCATTCCAGATATACATGGATAATACATACGTACATCAACACGTACATACACATATATACGTGTATATTTATACGTACCTCTCTCGTGTCCCTCTCTTATCTGTGCTTGTTCGACCCTGTCAACCTCTCGACCCGCGCTGCGGTGCCTCCCCTGAACAGCTCTCCCGTTCTGTCAAGCCCCCTGTTGCTTCGCAGGTGCACTTCTTGGTGATCTTTCGAAAACCCTCCGCGTTCATCTCTGCGAAGCACTGGAGTTTCCCGGACAGCTCAAGTATTCTCCTGTGGACGGAGGGGAGATGATGGGGTGAGAGGGAATCAAGGAGCAGAGAGGAAGAATGGAAAGGAAGAGGGAGACAGGCAGGGGGAGACGGTAAACAAGTAAGCCGTGGACAATAAAGGCACGGCCCCTGGTCACCCTGAGCACTGACAAGGAGCGGGTCCTGATTCGGGGCAGCTTGAGGGCCGTGATTCGGAGTCCACGGCGTTTCCAAATCTGGAGAAGAAGGGCGGGGAGGGGGTGGGGACCAGGGCGGTGGGGGGAACGAGGAGGGGTGGAATGAGAGGGACGGGCAGGGGAGAGGGTGGGCGGCGGAAGAGGCGGGGAGGAGGCGGAGGTGGGAGGGAGAGAGGGAGCTGTGGGGGGGGGGGGGCGCAGGGGGAGAGGGGCGGCAAAAGCAAGGACAGCAGTCTCCCCCCCCCTGCCCAAAACCCCCCGGCGCTGAAGAGCGGAGCAGGGCAAGGGGGCGACAAGAAGAGACGAGGCGATAGGGAGACAGAAACGGAGAAGGAGGCGGAGAAGGACGCGGAGGATCATAGCCGGCGACGACGGCGATGATGACGAGAAGGATGAAGACGATGAGGCGAGAAACATAGGCAAAGTACATGAGAGAAAGATGACGACGAAGTCGCCGGTAACGAGAACAAGATACGTGGACGAGGGTGCTGAAGAGGAATACATTGTTATCACTCGGGGGCAAATGGCACGGCCATCTGGTCGATGGGCCCGATGGCCTCCAGCATCCGGAGCTGGAGGCTCTCTCAGCTTACCGCCTACTGCTGAAGAGAACAGTTATTGAGGGCCCGAAGTTGAGAGACGCTGTCAAAAAGGACCCCTGACTCGGGATGGAGATCCAGCAACAGACGACGTCAGACGGTATACCTCTTGCCACTCTTTGGAGGTCCGCACTCCAGATGCGGGCCCTTGACTGCAAAGTGGTGCGCTGGCGAACCTTGCAAAAACAATCACTGAAGTCCGTCAGGGCAGACCCGACGACCTACAATTGGACTGGTGAATTTATCTGGGCTCCCCAGCGCAACGAGACCGGCATCGGACGACCAGGGTCATTCTTTCGATGGTCCACAGCCTCGCCCGAGAGGCTACAAGCTAAACGCGCCGCAGCGCAAAGAGACATGCTGAGCCCGCTGCCAATCCGTCACGCCACTCATCAAAGGCTGGGCCAAAACGGGCTTCTGAATCCGAAGCTCGACCTGACGAGTGATGTCCGTTTCCGTGTTGTTTTCGGTGTCTCTCATTCTGCCTCCGATGCACCTAGAGCAATAACGAAATCAAACCGAAAACGGTCCACGAAATCGCGAAAGCACCGTTTAGGTCGAGACCTGTCTGAAGCCTTCCCTCGCGGCTGTGAATTGGCCAGAGGGCCAGCATCATAGGAATTATATGCAGCAGGGCAGCGGTTCATTCTTGCTCCTGCTGCTGCAGTGGCAACAGAAGTGGGATCGACGGAAGGGTGTATACAGAGGGTGCCGACCCACCGCACACCTGGCTGATATCAAACAGAATTGTGTCTTCGTTCGCAAGGATGGTTTCATCTCTGTGAGCCTTGACCTCAACAACTGTTAGCAAGATCTTCCTACTGGCACAGCCCCGGGCTGTGCGATGGACCCCCAGACGTATGCGTCGATGCGGGATGGTGGCAATGAATAGTTGAGTATGGCCATCGAGGGCACCTTTGCAATGAACATATGCATGAAACGATTCAGAAAGAGTCTGCTGCAGCACCAGAAATGTTACATGCTCCCCAGCAGGATGCGTCTGGCGACGCTTGAAGACCACAGGGCCACTGAGTTCGACCCGGAGCCCTCCTCCCTAGAACAAAACACGCACGCGGACCAGGCGGTCAGATCGAGGCATTTTAGCCCCGTCCTGGAACAGGCCCCATCGGAGCCCGCGAGAGGCACAACTTGTCTGCCACGAGAAGCCCCTTAGACAAGTTCGTGCCTTATCTTCTTTGTTAGGATGCGGAACTCTTCAGCAGGAACAGAGGAGGACACCAAGCCATACCCTGAATGAGGGACGAACCCCAACAAACTAATCAGTAGTTGCACGTGAGCTGCTTAGATTTGCCGCTGGGCCGCATGTGGAAACCATTCGTTTGAATGCACAGCAATCCTCAACAAGATATCCTGCAGGTGCCGCCCCGGTGATGGTCCAGCATCCCTGGCAATAAATGAGTAACCGACAGGGCCCTCCCTGGAACAACGCTGTTTATTGCATGTTGTCGCACGTTCCCTCCTAAACGCTTGGAGAGAACACGTGTAGAAGAGAGAAGCACGAGAAACGATGAGGACGAGGAGAGACGACGACGAGCATCAGAACCAGATTTCTCCGGATACCCCCAAAGGTCGTCGCAGGCGCACGGGGACCCAACACATGACCAACAACGACAAAACAAAAAACGTCGATCCACGAAGAAAATAAAGACGATGATACCTTCGGTACGCTTTCACTTTGGGAACCGTGCCGATTCATGGGTCCGGCGATGTCTGAAACAGTGGCGGCTAGCCATAGGGTCCAGCCCTGACTCGCCCGAGACGGCAAGACTTGCTCTGAACTATCGTCGAAAGGAACGACGTGCCACACATGCGCAGGGTCGGCCACACCTGAAAGTGACCCTGGGCAAGGGTGACCTCTGGTGTTCGGCTTTAGGAGCAGCGGCGGGGGGCAATCCGATTGCGCAGGCTAATGCTGGGAGAACACCTTGTTTCGCCGCCCTCCCAGTACCTCTGCCGTCACAGCTTGCGTGGCAACAGGAGCACGCCCGACGCTCTAAGCCTCATGTGTATCTACGTCTACCTTACACGGCGCCACACCAGCTGCACCCCTGGGATGCTGGGCGCACAGGGCAAAGTAGGAGAAGCCCGCGACCATCAGGTGCCAGCCCCCGTGCCAGAGCCGCAGCCAGTCCCTGCGGTCATCCAGGCCTTTCACAAAGCACAGGACAGCACCAGCGAAGAGTCCGAACGCGTTCCGCCCTGCTCGCAGGTCCAGCTTCGGTAGTCTGCCGCGCCACGTAATAGAGGCGAGCATGACCATGATAGCTGCTGCCAGTGGACCCACGGTGAAGCGCACGTCCCATGGCGACATCAGCTGCGCCACGATCGCCAGGCTGACTGAGCCTGCGTTGAGAACTTCTCGAAGTGGCGAACCTCGAGGCACTTGGGCGAATCCGAGCACTATGGCCATGAGCGAGGCGATGGAAAAGACGTTGTCCATGTGGTGCCAGCGCCCCTCGTTAAAGCCCAGCAGCTTCCAGTCGAGGCTCTGGCATACGTGGTAGGCGCTCGATGTCAACATTGTCATCACACCCATCGTTCCTTCGTGGTACAGCCCCAGGCGGAACGCCTGCGAGGCGGGGAGCAGCATGGCCAGGTTGGTCGCCCCGGTCACCCACGCCTGGGCCACCGCTTGCCCGCTCGTCGGCGGCGGCACCATCAGCCCGGCGGCCCCCTCATCGTGGGCATCAGCAGCTCGCCTGCAGCCTTGGGCTGACCACCGAATCCACTGCGACTTGAGCCAGAGCGCTTGAGCCAAAATGGCTACGGAATGCTGGGAGAACACCTTGAGACCCCTGTGGGCCCGCACTACAGGTCACTTCGGCGAAAGCTCACACCTACGCGAAGCCGGACAAGGCCAGCCTCAACGCCCTAGCAATGGGGCCATTCTTATTTCGCCCGAGAAAGCAAGATTTGCTCAGGATAACCATCGAAGGGAGAGATGATATTTCCCCCACCGCGACATTAATCAATGGAAAACGTGTATGCTTGAAGTGACCCACATGTTGGCGGACTACCATGGATGCGAAGATTTTGGCGCCAGCGGAAAACCTGCCGATCTCTGCTCTGCGCATTGAAAATGGGTCTTGGAATTTCCCTCCGACGCCATACTAACTGCGGTGCTCGTAACGCGCAGCTCCTCAAACATCCAGCATCCCATCAAAGAAAAAGATGTGCCACACGCGTGCAGGGTCGGCCACACGCAAGGAGTGGTGCCTCTGGGCAAAGGTGATCTCTGGTGCGCGGCTTTGGAGACTGCGCGCGGGAGGGGGGGGTAACGGGCAACCCAGGCGCACAGGCCGATACTGGGGGACTACCACGGTACCCCCGTGAGCCTGCACTAAAGGTCACTTCGGCAAAAGGTCGCTCCTACGCGTAGCCCGCGGGCGCAGAAATGATCAGACACCGTTCGAGCGAGGGTAGGACGTTCCGGAAGCGAACTGGGCACTGCACAGCTGGGTGCGACACATGTTCGGGGAGACGTAAGGCTCGGGTACGGGGGATTTGGGTTGGCCTGACGGGGCCATCAAAAAAATGAAGAGACCCAGACGCACCCGCTGCAAACATCCCACGAAACCTGGACCGCCCAAATCCAAGACGCGCTCGTCAAAAAACTTCGGCAAACCCGAAGTCCGGCTTACTCGAGTCTTACGTTTCCCCGACGTGTGCAAGGGAGGCACGGCTCCCCCTGGCAGCCCGCAGCGCCCCGGCGGGCAGGACACGACGGCAACGACTCCACGCCCGCGGCGGCGGCAAGGCGGGGGCGGGGGGCTCCGCTGCTCCGCCTCGCTCGCCTTGGCCTCTCCGCCCCTGCGGCGCGCGCGAGCGCGCCGTGCCACGCTGCGTGGAGCTGCTGCTCCGCGGGCCCGGCACCCTCGCGAGGAAGCTCGCGGCTCCCCGAGTTCTCCCGCCTCCCTCCTGATCCCTCCTCCCTCCTCCCTTCTCCCTCCGTCCTACCTCCCTCCCTTCTCCTCCTCCCCTTCCGCCCGCGCTCGCGGGACAGAGGGGGGCAGGACGACTCCCCAGCTCCTGGCGCCGCGAAATACGAAGACGGTCGACGACGACGGCGACGGACGATGACGAGGGACTACGACGAAGGCGGACGACGACGATGACGACGAGGACGAAGCCGACAGACTACGGACGAAGACAATGGACGACGAATGCGATGGAAAGGGCGACGGACAACGACGCTCGCCAGATGACAGACGACGACGCTGAGGAGGAGTACGACACCAACTCTGGTCGCTTCGCTGCTCCAATACTGTTTGTCTCCCCTGTACCGCACGGGCCTGCCACCCAATCCAGTATCGTTCCCACTACGCATAACACGTTCTTTCTATACCCGAGGTACGCTACAAGCTTGCACCCAGAGTCCGCCCAAAGCAAAGAGTACGATACCGGGCCAGACTTCGGCGAGCCCAGCGCGCGCCCGCAAAGTTTGGTGTACTCGACGATCGCCTCCCGAACGATGCCCTCCTGCGCGAGGCACGCCCCCCAGAGAGTGATACATACACATATATATATATATAGATATATATAGAGAGAGAGAGAGAGAGAGCAAATGCCTCCAAAATGGGATCAGGGTATGGACAAAACTGATAGAAAGGATGTGCGACAAGGATGCAAGCCGCTTGAACGCCCAGGTCGAGCGCGACGGGCCATCGAGCGCGGCGGGCAATCGAAAGTAGTGAATAGACAGAGGAGGAAGGTTACCCACCCTTACCATCGGTTTCGACTGTACACGGGGTCAGAGGATCGCACAGCATCGCCGATGCATCGCGATGCGTTTGCGATGCACTAACGACGTCGGCGATGCGAAGGCGACGCCAGTGTTGGGCAAGTCGGGATCCACATTGAGCCGCATCGTCGATCACAGGTGGGAGGCCTAGAGCCTAGAGAGAGGGAGGCCAGCTCCGCGAAAGGGCAAGGCCGTCCACGGCGACAACTCAATCGGGAATCGGCCGAAACAACACCGAAACCAAAGCCAACGGAAGCCGACGGGAGGCGGCAACGTAGAAATGCGCAACAAAGCATCACCGACGACAGAACCGAACCCACCGAGAGCACTCGAGCGACCGAGAGAGGGGGGCAATGTGCAGAGAAGGGGCCACAGAGTAACAGGGAGAAGAGGAATGGGTGGGGCAGGCGAACACCAATTGACGAACGCAAAACTAGAAGAGAGAGAACTTGCAACTCAAGAGGGGCGAATATTCGACGCGCTAAACATACGGTCAGGCTGCGCGGGGAAGGCGAGTCTAGCTGGGTCAACTGATTGACGGCAGACTGTCCGTAACAGTCCGCCGCCCCACGCTCGCCAGGAATAAACAGGCGTGTGAGACACTCAGCTGCCCCCCTCTCTCTTTCCCTCTGCTTTGGGTTCCTTAATCCCACAGCAGAGGGGGGAAGAGCTCGGTGACGCACCAATCGCTTGATTTGTCTTAAGTATGCCCTGGGCGCTTTCTCATATGCGCTCCAATCGGCGACGTTGTGTGCGTTGTGAGCTCCTTGCTTAAGCGTTTGCAGATCTGTGGATTGCTCTGTTTCACACTGCCGTCTACCACGTCCTGCTGGCTGTCTGCGAGGCCTCCGGGCCTGCTCCGCGCCGGCGTTCGACCGCCGCTGGGGCGTTGTGCTGTTTTTTGGCTTTGCTCTATGCGTGCGCTGCGCGCGGAGCGCGGGGGACGGGAGGCGGCATGAACATGAGGGCGGGAGCGAAGACGGCAGTGAAGGCAAAGAGCAGCCTTTGGAAAGAATCCAGCAAGCGCTGAATCAATGAAGATCTACAGAGACGGGCCTGAACACGTTGAACAAACATGCAGAAACAAGACGCTGACAATAAATCCATCAGTTCAGCATTTTTAGCTCGTCCGCCAACATGCAGAACGGGAACAAGAACAACACACAAAACACAACAACAGAAAACGCCAAAGGCGTGCGCAAAAAGAACCAAGACCGACGGGGCCCTCCCAACCTCCAAATCCACCATCCGTTGCCGCCTGGCTGTCCAAAATGCCTTCTAAGATGGCTCCGAAAGGGCACCAACACGCCAGAGCCCTTCAATATTGCCGCAAGACGGCCCAAGATCCCCCAGCACGCCGTGCGAGGGCCCCAAAATACAAAACCAATCCCTCCAGCTGTGGACTAAGGTGGTCTATCGATATCTTCATGTCTGCCTCTTTTCTTCGAGTAGGTTTACTTTCCCCACCCCCTCCTTGGGGTTTTGTTGGAGCGGGCCGCGACGTGTTGGAGGGTCGTTTTCGCCCAAGATGGCTCCAAGATGGCCGCCTATGCTCCAAGATGGCATTCATAATGGCTCAAGATAGCTTCCGACAGACCTACAAGCTGGCCACACGATGGTTCCAAGTGCTCTCGGAGGCCACTCAGGACCCCCCCAAGAGGGCCAAATCCTCCAAACACCCAAGAAACATAAATAATATTTGCCGTCTCGCTCTGTCGCTTCCCATGTGCACTTCAGGCCTCAAGATCGGCCCAAGAGAGGCCCAAGAGGGGCCCACGCGCCCCCCATACGGCCCCAAGAGAACCGCAAGAGGGCCCCAAGAGGCGACTCTGATGGCCCCAAGAAGGGGATGGAAGGGGGGGTCCAACATCGAATGCCCCCCTTTTGATTGATGGCCTCCAGGATGGCCCCAAAAGGCTCTCGAAGGCTCCCAAGGGGCCCCCGAGAGAGGCCCAAGAGGGCCCTAAGACCCTGAGACCCTTTAGTAAAGGCCCCAAGAGAACCAGAAGATCCCTCAAAACAGTCCCAAGAGAGCAAACATAGGCGATTTCGAAGGCTGTCATGTCATCGTTGCCCTTCTCCTCGTCCTCGTCCTCGTCCTCGTCCTAGACATCATCGTCTTCCTCTTCCTTCTCTTCCTCGTCGTCGTGGTCGTCGTCGTCGCCTTCTTCATCCTCCGACTCCTCGTTCCATGGCCTCCACGCAAGCCCCAGGAATGGCCCGAAGAGGCCCTCCAAGGCCACCCGCTCGCTCCCAGGGATTTCTCTGTTGCCCGCTCTCTCTCACTATCTGTGTCCCTTCTTCCCTTGCGCCATCAACTCTCATGGGCAGGGTTTCCGAATGGGTTGGTGGGGATTTTTCCGCCGCAGCCGCAGGCGAAGGCGCACAGGAGCGGCAAAGGTCAACCTGGGCTACGGGCGAAACCTAATTACCCAGCGGACGCACTCACTGCTGCCAAAGCTGCCGCCGAGGAAAAGTGAGGGGCGCTGGGGGCTGAAGTTTGAAGGGGGCTTGAAGGCCCAGCCAACAGCTTCGCCTCAGGCGAAGCCAAGCTCCCGCTCTGCTGTACCGTAGCAACGATAGTCCCAGTACGAGAGGGGATGCCATCTCAAGCAATCGGAAGATCCTTGTGGTCTCGATAGCGATTGTGCGCCTCGCAGTGAGGCGCAGTCATATTTGGGCGGCCGGCCGCTTGAGCCGACGCGGCCGCGGGCGAACGCTCGCTTCCACTCCTTGCGTCCCCCAGCTCGCTTTGGAGTCGGGGGGGGGAGGGAGACGAAGCGTGGGCCCGTCGCCCCTATACAGCAGGCGAAGCAGCTAACATGCACAAGGACAGAAAAGGAGGCGGGCCTAAAGGAAGGTGGACCCGCTAGCAAGTTGCCTCGCATGTACGTGACGTACTCATCAGGCGGCGTCAGTACTTGATGTCTGGCCGGCCCGATATGGAGTATGTTTCTTCAGGTCATGTTCGAAGGTCTGTATACCTTCCATGACTTGTAGGATCATTTCCCTGTCGATGCTCCCCTTGGCGTGGCCATCCGCAGTCATATCGCGGGTGTCGCACATCCGCAGTCATATCGCGGGTGTCGCACCACTGAATGCTATCCACGATTCCACGCTCCATCATCTGTCGTATCCAACTGATGTGTCCTAAAAGGGTACACCCAGTCGGCTTCTTCAAGTCTCCGCTTGACAAGGACTTAAAAACAGACTCAGCATCGATGCTCAAGGTGACCTTGATGCTCAGGCCACCCAACTCCAGCATATCTTTCAACTGGGCGGGCGTGAGCGGCCCTGCGTGGAGCTCGTGCAGAGTCACAATCGTGGGGTAACAGTCATCCAAATCACGGGCGACTGCTAGTCTCTGCTGAGCAGCTCGAGCGGAGCTGCAAACGGTGAGACTTGCAGCGTGCATCAATCAAGTAAACGGCAGGCTTACCGGATGACGTGTTTCCACGTCGTAGCAGGTTTGCCCCGCGAATACCATTGCGTTTGACGTCGTCATCGGCGTCTCCACTCAGGCGTCGATATCCTGAGTCGCTATGTAGGTCGACCCCGCCCGTCGGATTCATCGCCTGGTAGACGATCTTGATCGGGCAGGCCTGCGCATTCCTGGTGATCGCGCACAGTCGTCGCACTTGAATGTTGGTGGGTTCTTGGACGCGTTGTAGAGATACAACATGCACCATCAACCGCACCTGGGTGATTGATGCATGCGCCAGCGCACCCCTGAGGCTGACGAACATGCATGCAACCATCTTGGTTGCCTGAGCGTCAGCGTCGGCGCCTGTCAGTTCGAAATGTTGTATAGGACGGAGCTGTTTGATCTATTCATATTGATCCCAAGTGACATTGTCGTCCTCGTCCTTGGTGTATACCACAGCACAGTTTGTATATGTGTACTGAGTGAGTTTACACTTCCAAAGGGTATATTCAACGCATTTGATATGCTTGTCAATGGTGTCCTCAGTGCCGGCCATATCGATGTCAGGAACACTCTTGGCCGTGAGCAAATTGTTGTTCGTCTCGAACTCCTCGTCGTATGACGCGGGTCGGAGTCCGAATCCTTTGGTGGTCCTCCTGAGCTTAAGTGAGAAAGCCCGTGGGGCGTCTTTGGTGCCTGTGCCTGGTTTCAGGCACTGTAGGGAGTGCTTTGACTCGGAATAGTGCTCGAAACCTGAGAGCGTTCGGAGCACTGCGGCCGATCCAGGCGGCAAAGTAAAACACACCGCGCGTTCCTTTTTCACCAGTAGCCTCAGCAAGTTCCTGATAGCCAATCCTTGCAGGAAGGCCACGTTGATGTCGAGGGGAGCAATGATCCACTGCTTCTCGCACGCTGCCGTGCTAACGAGCAACCCCTGGCTTGACCGTCTCGCTGTTCCCGAACATGTTTCCACGCCGAATGCTTCGAGGTCCATGGAACCTCGGAGAACCCAGCGTAGTCGGATGGTACGTTCAATCTCGCCCTCCTCGTTCTTCACGAACTTAACTTTGTGCACGTATCTCGAAGTCATGATGTTCGACGCGTTAGCTAGTTCTTGCATCCTAAAGCATTGTTATCGACACATGTCTTGAGTTCAGCGTGGGGGGCCTTTGGTACTTTATCGGATTTCGCCTGGATGTCAGTTCTAGTAAGATGGTCGCCTTCCTTGACGACCGCAGCTCGCTTTGCAGCGGCGGTTGCGTTTACTCGCATAGTGGTCACCCGGTCGGCATCGAATATCAGGCGTTGTTGCTC